AACTCGTGACCTTCGGGAAACCAGACAAAAGAGAGGAAAACATACATTCGCCCAAGTAAAGAAAGGCATGCATCCATAAAAAAAAAATTTCAAAGACAGGAGGCATCCACTCAGAAAAGGCCCGAAGGCGATCATTCATTCATTAGCTGAAAATTCAAAGTAACAACAAGATGTTTGGTTTACGTTACATGGCAGAAGCCGGAAGCTACAAGCTATTACAAAATGATACATCAAAAAATTCCTAAGTCTGAGTTCCTTGGACCGCATCAACTTTCGGCTCGGAGGTAGCGCCATCCCCAACCTCCTCCTCGGCATCCTCGGCTTCTGCCAGCAGCTCCGAGTCTTCGATATCCGGTCTCTCTTCGCCCGGGGGAAGTGGCACTCTAACGTCTGGCTGAAGGAGGGGGAGACCATACGCCGCGGGGTTGAAATCCTTTGGCTCTATCTTCAAATGCCGGGCCAGCCTCCGGTACACTAAGCGTTGAGTGAAGAACTCCCCGCCATCGTAGTAATCCTTGCCTTTCCGGGCCAGCCACATAGCCCCGGGGCCTTGGGTCCAAGCATCCACCCTCTTCTCCATCACCGAGGCCACCCAACCCTCATAATCAGCTGCCATCCAGCCCTCGGCAAGAAAAGACTCGACGGCCTTCTTCTCAGCTTTAGCTACCGCTTCGGCCTTGGCGATATCGGCGGCCTCGGCGGCGGTCTTGGCGGCAACTGCGGCAATTTCCTCGGCTGCGGCTTTCCCCCTGGCCTCAGCATCTTTGAGCCTTTGCTCCGTGGCCTCCTTCTCCAGCCGAAGGCTCGCCTCCACATCAGCAATCCTCTGCCTAAGGGTGACCTTCTCCTCATCAGCTTTCTTCAGGGCCTCGTCCGCCTGGCACTTGGCAATCCTCAGCTGCTCAACCCTTCGGGCCTGCTCAGAAGCAGCCAAGGCAGCCTGCACATAAACGCACATAAACAAAAATATGGCATCAGAATGGTTCACCGGGGGCTATCGTCAAAAAGAAAGAATTGAAGGAGATAAAAAAGGGAAGACAACTCACCATAGTGCTGTAGCTCGCGACTTTATAATCGAGGATGTCATCCCCGAGGCGGGCCAGCACTGACCTATCCTTCGGCGCCATGACCCCCCTCATGAAGCCGACAGGATGAAGGGTGCCATGCATAACTGAGGTCCCCGACTTGACAGGGAACTGGATGATCTCCACCGGGCGGATTCCCTCGTCTATGGGGGATGGAGGAGATCGAGGAGGGGTAGTCGCAGGAGGATTCGAGGAAGGCTGCTCCTCGACTATCACTATGGGAGCATCCTTCTTCCCGGAGGCCCCCTTCTTCTGCTTCTTATTCTCCGGGGGAGCGACACCCTTCCCGGAATTCTTTCTCTTGAGCTCCTCCCCCTTGGAGCCCCCGGCACCAGCACCGGTATCACCTGCTTTGGAGGGTCCCTCCCCCTCCGGGGCCTGAGACGCCCCATCGTTCTTGAAGAATTCATCGACAGGTTTCTGAACCCCCGTCTCCTTCTTCCTTTTTGGCTCCTTGGCCAGCTTCTTCTTCAGAGCAGCAAAGCTGGAGACGTCCATGCTAACACCTGCAAAACAAACGACGAGGTCAGACCAAAGGGTTCAAACGATGGGGGAAGAGAAATAAGAACATGCAAATATCCTAAGTACAATAAAGCGGACCCTCCGGTAACTACCTCCATTGCCACCGAAGGCTCTCTCAAGGACTGGGTATTGTTCATCCTTCTCGCCCAAAAAACGGTACCGACGGAAGCCTAGGGCCAGCAAGTCTTCGGGGAGAGTGGAATCTTTAACGGTCACATGCTTTGTGGCCCCCGGTGGCAGAGCGGTAATCTTCTTCCCGTCCTTCTGAAGTGCGGCATTTCCCACCTCGGGTGCCTCTTGAAGTGATTGCGCAACTCCCCCGGGAACGGATTTTCTGCCATCTTGACATAGCAGAAGCGGTCCTTCCATCCTTTGTGGGACGAAGGTACATCGTCAAAAAGCCTCCAGGGGGCAAGCTGCTGCAGGTTTGCAAACCCCTCGGAATTGGTATGGCCCCCTCGGCAAAGGTTGAAGCTCTGGAAAAAGAGATCGAGGGTCGCCGTTACACCTCGGGACCGGCAAAGCTGAAGGAAGCCGGTGATGTAGGAGTGGCTGTTTGGAGTTAGCTGGCAGGGGGCTAAACCCACATACCTCAAATACTCGAGGAGGAAGGGATGCAGCGGGAACCGAAGGCCCATGGCAACTGATAGCACATGGACGGCGAAGCATCCTTCGGGAGCTTGGGAGAGGAGATCGTTGGGCCCCGGTTCGATCACGGTGGCCGAGGGGCCCACATGCAGCTGGGTAACGTAGCATTCGGCCCGATCAGCCCTCGACTTCAGAGCGAGGGCAGCAGTATTCAGCCACGAATGCCCCTCCGGTATTCCCACGGGCTTCCCGCAGTCAACGGCGGTTTGCTTGCTCTTCTGGGGAGCTTTCGTCTTCTTCCTTTTCTTTCCCACGGCGACGCTGAGGGGTTCTGGATCTAGAGGCCGGGAGGTACTCGCCTCCCCGGATCCACGAAGGGGCAAGACGGCGACCGTAACCTCTTGTCGTTCCCTCTCTTCTTCTTCCTCAGCTACTTGGAGTGCGAGGGCCATTTCTTCATCAGCAGCGACTTGTTCAAATTCTTCAGCCTCCAGCTCAACCCGAAGGTTACTCTGTACCTCCTCAGCCACGGCAAGGTCATTATTGGTCGAGGACTGCTCGCTCGATGACTCCGAATCAGAAAAGCTCCCTACTGCAGCTGAGGGCTCCCTCGAATGGTTCTGGGAATCGCTTGCTGATGACATCCTTCGAAATCGAGAGAACGCAAGTATGGAAGGAAAAAAGGATACTAGGGGTTTCCTAGGAAGGCTCTAACACTTAATCTAAGAACAATAGAGCAAAGTATGCTAGAAGAATCGAAGAACGGTGAAGAACTGACCTCGAAACTTGGGGTTTGATCGAACAGGGCTTTCTCTCTCTAGAAAACAAAAGGGCAGAGCTTCGCTATCACAAAAATCGCACAAGGGATATGAATTCGGGCTTGGGGTATTTATAGGCTCCCAGCCTCGAAATCTGGGCCTCGATTTAAAAAGGCCATCATTACGGGCCGCCGGCTCAGCCAATGGGTGGCACCCGCCCACCTTCGACCAACGAGGACACGCCACGTCAACCCCTCTTCCTACGGCTATATTACAACGACTATATTTCGGCAAAACTGGGGTGCCTTCGAATGATAGGCTCCGGCTATCACTCACCACAGCCTTCCGCCAACGAAATTCGCCAAGCTTTCGGCTCACCAATGCTGCCACCCCCCCATTACATGGCACCCCTCGGGGATACATGCAAAAAAAAAAAAAAAAAACATCATGACTCCTTCAACCCGAACCTACTTTCGGCCTAAAGGAGTGGGGGACTGGGACACACCCCTCGGGAACCACACATGACCAAAAACAAAAAATTCCCACATACAAGAAACCTACAAATAACACATGTAGCCCTCGGGTGCGTGCACCATTACACCCTTCGGCAGAGCAAAATGTCAGAAATTTTCCACAGAGTCACTGACAATAATGAAACAGCCTTCATCACAACACATACGGATATTATTTACGCCTCCCTCAGAAAACCCCCGACATGTGAGGGACTGAGGAGAGGCTCCGGCATTCATACAAGTGTTATACTTCCTTCAGAAAACCTTCGGCATGTGAGGGACTGAGGGAAGCCTTCGGCAATCAACAGGAGGCGAATTCTCAAGCAAAGGCGCCCAACCAAGGGATGGGGCCTCCGGAAGAATCAACACATCTACTCCTTTTCCCTCAAGTACCTTTCGGCAAAAGGAGTGAGGGACTCCTAATGGAGTATATGGCCCAGGAACCCCCGGCCCATAGACTCCTACTTCTCCTACACAAGTTCATTGAGCCCAGGGAACAACTCAGGCCCAAAATGCAGCGGCCCAAGCCTCAACGTGGCCCAGAATACGCACTGGGGTGCCTTCGGCCTCCTTGGCCGAAGGCCCCAAACCTCACAGAGTAGCCTTCTCTGGCATAAGAGGCTACTGGGAGAAAACGGCGAAAAACATGAGCCTTCGGCATTATCGAGCCCTCGGCATCAGAGAAGCCCCCGGCTAAACCATGCCTCCGGTCACACAGGGCCTTCGGCTACACAGGGATCCTTGGCTACATGGAGCCCTCGGCAACACAAGGAGCCCTCGGCTGAGCACACTCAATCATCGGAGATTCCTTTTAGAGACAGCCAACCACCGCATTTAATGCCACGTCACATCCGCCAACCGCATTCAATGCGGTAAACGTACCACTGCCGGTGCCAACCGGTTGATGTGACCCTTCGGCCGTTGGATTACTGACACGTGTCCTCTCATCGCATTTATTGCTGCTATAAATAGCAGCCCATTTCTCCTTGTAAATCATCATCTACACCTCAACTCCACACGCTGAGTTCATTTAATAAAATCGACTCTCTCTCCTCCTATTTGCTCTGACTTCTCTCTAAGTTATTTCCGCAATAACCCCTCGGATAAGATACCCCCCGGGTAGACTTTCCATCAATACGTAGTATGAAAGTTCTTTCTAAAATGGTGGGCAATGATACAGACACTATTTTTCATTGTTTCCCCAACTGTGTTTTAGTACATTCTAACTACCATATTGACATTAACAAAGCAAAATTTAAGGGGTAACACTATACCTTCTTATAGCACTTTGGATTGAAACCTAAAGAGTAGAGAGTTTCATCGCATAGCAATTAGCAAACGACTCCTATTAGACTCTTAGTATGAGTCGTTTTTAGCAGTCAGTTGTAAATAATTAATTTTAAGATGAGAACAGAAACTAAATAATTAAGACGTAAGAGCAATCATGATTAAATAATAGAATAAAGAAATTGAGAAAATTGAATTGATCAAAATAATTAATAATATAAAAAAATCAAAGAAAATAGGAAGAGCACCTACTACAGCAGTTTCGCCCCCCGCTTCAGCAATTTCGCATCCCCTCTTCAACAAAGGAACAATTTGGAGGGAATTAGAGCAAACACCTTCTATTTTATGATGAAAGCACGCACCTAATCAAAAGAAAGAACTATTGAGAAAATAGAATTGATCAAAATAATTAATAATATAAAAAAATCAAAGAAAATAGGAAGAGCACCTGCTACAACAATTTTGCCCCCCTGCTTCAGCAATTTCGCATTCCCCTCTTTAGCAAAGGAACAATTTGGAGGGAATTAGACCAAACACCTTTTATTTTATGATGAAAGCACGCACCTAATCAAAAGGAAGAACTATGTATTTGCCTTTTGCGTTGAAATCTATTTTCATCCATGATATGGAATGAATCGGTGAGCAGGAAAGATGAAACGGCAGAGCCAGAGGTAAAATCTTTATAGGGGAGAAAACAGGATCTGCAAATGGAGAATGGAGAATCGAATTGCTCTGTGAGAAGGAAGAGAAATGATTGCTAATCTTGGGCGGAAGTTTCTGATCATTATTTCAACTTTGAATGCTAATTTCTCTCAATAACAAATAAAGTTCTTCAACTATTGTAAAGGAGTATAAGACAGAGTAAAAAAGCAACTCAATAGGTCTGAATTGATTTGGGGCATAAATATGCATAAAATCACGTAATCCTATGTCTAATGTGATAGTGGACATGTGGTGTTATGGGAGGAAAGTTCCAACTTCACAAACTAACAGTATTGATTAGGCATTCAGTTCTTTGATAACAAATGCATTGGATATAGGATTATTGAATTTGACTAATTGATAATCCAATACCTTAGCTTATGAGTCATTGACTCCCAATATACTTTATATAATACGTAGTATGAAAGTTCTTTCTAAAATGGTGGGCAATGATACAGACACTATTTTTCATTGTTTCCCCAACTGTGTTTTAGTAGATTCTAACCAACATATTGACATTAACAAAGCAAAATTTAAGGGGTAACACTATACCTTCTTATAGCACTTTGGATTAAAACCTAAAGAGTAGAGAGTTTCATCGCATAGCAATTAGCAAACGACTCCTATTAGACTCTTAGTATGAGTCGTTTTTAGCAGTCGGTTGTAAATAATTAATTTTAAGATGAGAACAGAAACTAAATAATTAAGACGTAAGAGCAATCATGATTAAATAATAGAATAAAGAAATTGAGAAAATTGAATTGATCAAAATAATTAATAATATAAAAAAATCAAAGAAAATAGGAGGAGCACCTACTACAGCAGTTTCGCCCCCCGCTTCAGCAATTTCGCATCCCCTCTTCAACAAAGGAACAATTTGGAGGGAATTAGAGCAAACACCTTCTATTTTATGATGAAAGCACGCACCTAATCAAAAGAAAGAACTATTGAGAAAATAGAATTGATCAAAATAATTAATAATATAAAAAAATCAAAGAAAATAGGAAGAGCACCTGCTACAACAATTTTGCCCCCTGCTTCAGCAATTTCGCATCCCCCTCTTTAGCAAAGGAACAATTTGGAGGGAATTAGAGCAAACACCTTTTATTTTATGATGAAAGCACGCACCTAATCAAAAGGAAGAACTATGTATTTGCCTTTTGCGTTGAAATCTATTTTCATCCATGATATGGAATGAATCGGTGAGCAGGAAAGATGAAACGGCAGAGCCAGAGGTAAAATCTTTATAGGGAAGAAAACAGGATCTGCAAATGGAGAATGGAGAATCGATTTGCCCTGTGAGAAGGAAGAGAAATGAGAAGCCGTAGATTTGCCCTCATCTTTATCGATCCCCAAAGACGGTAATAGCTCCATGAATGGAGAATCGATTTGCTCTGTCAGAAAGGAGAGAAATGAGAAGCCATAGATTTGACACATCGTTATCGATCCATATGTTTGTGTGAAAGGAAGCCATGACCTGAGACTCATTTGCTTTGTGAAGGGGAGAGGGGGAGCGATGAAAGACGGTGAGGTATTGTAAGACAGGAATACGAAAGCCGTAAATAAAATAAAAGATAGCGTAAATGAATAGCTAAAATGCGAAAATGAAAAGCGGAAATTTCTTGGGCGGGAAAGTGGCTCCTCCATAAAGTATTGCAATTATGTAGAGTGATTTTATCCAACAGATGCTCATTGCTCACACTGAATTGCTTCGGTCAAACTCGAGACTGTTTTGGTCGGGTAAATGGTAACGGGTAGGATAGAAGAAATGGTCATTATGATTTCACGGGTAATGAGATGATTAAAATTTTATACACATCTGCCCCATTAGTCACATATTGGTTTCATTTTTTACACACCGGGGAAAAAGATATTTTTATCCTTTGTATTGTGTAGCGACAAATGTCCTCACTACAATGAACACTGACAAAAAATCTCCTTTGGAAATCAAGCTCTTTGGATATGGTAATACGGAGTAGAACTTAAGTGCCATGTTGGATTGGTATCATATTTTTTTCTTAATTACTCCGTAATAAATTTTGTGGGTTTAAGTATTTTAGGCTTAAATGATTTCTGGTGGCCTTCTTCCTTTAAAGGGGTGTTTGTTATTGCTTCAAAAAAAAGTACTTTTTAGCTTTTAACTTAAAATAAGTTGAAAAAAGTGTTTACTAATGCATATTTCTACTTTAAAAAACACTTTAAAGCTAAAAGTTGAAAGCTGATAGAGAGGTGCTTTAAACTGTTTTTCACTTTTTTTAATACACAAAAGCACTTATTCTCTCAAACATTACCTACTTTTACTTTTTCAAAAATATTTTTTCTCAAATACTATCAACTTTTACTATTAAACGCTTTTTCCAAAACCGCTTTAAAAAATCACTTTTTAAAAGTAAAAGCAATGGCAAACACTCCCTAAGTAACTACCTAACTGGTGCCTAATGGGTGGCTAAAAGCCTAAAACATTGATTTTCATATATCAATGATTCATTTTGTTGTGTGTTCTCGCAAAATAAAGAAAAGTAATTAAATGACTAAAGAAAAACAAAAAATAAGATGGAGCAGAGAATTTCATCAAAATGTATTTGTTGCCTCCCACTGTGCTAGGAGTGTGCAACGACCATTTCGTGTCCGCAGGTCGCCCGCGCACGCAAATCGCGGTTTTTCTTCTCCGTTTTCGAGATTTGATCTGTACCCTCTTGCGCGCAAAGAGAGCCTTTCCACTTAGAAATCTTACCTCCTTCAAAGAGGCTTCTCTTTATAAGGGGTTCAAAATCCATTCGGTTTTCCGGTGTGGGATAAATCACACTAGAAACTCATCCTTTTTTCCTAGTTTTTCCATTTCAATTAGTGAAATTCGAGAATCAATTTCTTATTCATCCGTTATCCGTTTTGAGTGTACCATATATCGATTTGTAGCAATCCGAAAATCACTTTGACCCGAACCAAATCGGAAGTGGACCCAGGGCCGGTCCTGTCCAGTTTTGGACCTATGGGCGATATACTATATTTTGGCCTTAAAATAAAAATTACGGAGTATAATAAAACTAAGAGAAATTATTGTAAATACGACTAAACACGTTTGTATATTCCAAACTAAGATTATCATGTTTTTGTTCTCTCAATAGTACAGTAGTAATTAATGTCATATTTTGGGAGTATCATGTTTTACACATGGTAGTATTTTTCAAACATGACAGTAATTACTCCTATTCAGAAAATAAACACATAACAGTCCTATTTTGAAATTCTAAAAAAAAACTACTCCTACCTATTTTGAATTGCATATTTGGACAAAAGTAACAACACATGTATCACAAAAGAACATTGTGAAGTAAATCCATTAATAATTGCTTTATATTCAATCTTTTCCAAGATCACATGTACAATGTTTAAAATTGCTAATCCATTAAGTTTTTAAGGCATAATAAATAATTGGGATGATGTTTGAGAATTGGGAGGCACCGGCAGTCCAAATACAATAATATAAATTTGTAATTTTGTAATTAAAAGAATAAAAAATCTTAAAGGCTAAAAAGATGTGAAGAGACGTGCTTTTATTGATTGAACAACAAATGGGTTGACTTACAACCAACTCTATTTAAAAATCAAAACTAAATTTATATTCTTTCTAAAAACATGTCTAGCTTTGTTTAAGACTTTTTACTTATGTTTTAAAATTCTCAAATTGTCAAGAAAAATTACACATTAGACCTAATTAATTAATTGAAATTATAAATAAAAAAGAAGTCTACTCATATTACATATAAAGGAAAAAACTTGGGCCTAATTTTCTTTTTACTTTTTTTTCGGGCCTAGGACGGTCGCCCCTGCTGCCCTCCCCCTAGGACCGGCCATGAGTGGACCACACTCAAAATATTGTCCCAAAATTACCATTTAATGCAAATTTTAACATATTTTTCCAACACATTTAAGTAAATATTACCAAGTTTGTACTTTTACTCGTTGGGATTGGTCTAGATAAAAATTAACTCATCATGTAAGGAGAAATTACAGTGTGGGATTATATGTTTGACCTTTCCCGCTTGTCGCATTGCCGGGCATTGCATTAGTGAAAAAGAAGAAATGTGTAATATTCACTTTTCTCTTTGCACTCACTGAAAATGCACACTCAATTAAAAACATGAGTGCTACTTTTTGTACACCTCTTGTGTACACTCCCCCCTTTATGAACATTCTCTCCGGTTGTCTATTTCCACGAATCCCTGTATAGACAGATAACTAGAAGTATACACAAAATGTGTACAAAACGTGTGTACCTACAGTTTTTTTCTACAATCATTTCCCTTTTAATCCCTGGCCATTTCTTTAAGGGGTTCAAGCCTTCCTTTTAAAATTATGAACCATTTGTTTGAACTAGTTTTACTCTTGGACCGGATAAAATTAGAGAAGTGCGTACTCTGTATTAATTAGATCATACTCTATATCACATTAAATAGTTCACTCTCAAACTTTAGATCCAATCAAATTAGATCAGTTTAGGCCGAACAATAAGATGAGAAAAGTTTATTACATCTCCTTCGCTTAAGAGAGTGTTTAAGATTGCTTCTACTTTAAAAAATGATTTCACATAAGGCGCGTAATAGTAAAAGTTGATAATGTTAGAAAAAATTGTTTTTGAATAAATAAAAGCTAATGTTTTTTTATTGTAACACAAAAAATGAAAAGTGATTTAAAGCACGGCCACGAAATTGTCACCTATAAACACTCACTTCGGTTTTTTATTTAAGTCACAAGGTGAAAAGCATTTACGGTTGGAGTTAAAGCAGTTACAAAGACGGTCCAAGTTAAAGTCTTGCATAGACGGTTGGAGTTGAATTTACTACATGCAGACATCTATTGAATGAGACCTGTAATCGATTTGTTGCATCTTCACCAACCCCTCTGCCACACCCATTTACTCAGATTCATTACTCTGCACATTTTTCTTCACAGCATGCAGTTATCCTCAGCTTTACAAGTGTTGCCTCCTCAGACCTCAGTCTCTGTATCATTTTTTATTCATATTGGACTGCACAAAAAGTATCTGTGTTATGAGATTATAAACAATGGCAGATCAGTAAAAGAGTCTTGGAAGGGCAATATAACGGGCATGCTAGTTCATATTATTAGCATTTTTTCCAAATGTAGCCAAACCAAACAATGTAACAAACGTCAAATTCGTTTCGGTAAATTAACTTTTCATTTTATTACTCGTACATTTTAGAAGAGACTAATAAACACCAACTGTCCTGCTAGTTTGCTAAAGTGTACATATTACTCGTATAACATTAATAGTTACGTAGTACTTTAGAGGGAACCAATAAACAGACTTTAATTATTAGATGGAACGATCATATAGAATTTAATAATTTAAAAATTACTACTCCGTATAAGTAGTGTATAACTAACCACTTTCGGGGTGGGGAGTTGGAGCCAACTTTCTCATCTAATGGAATTTGGACTATTGGGGTGGAGACACAAGTTACAAGTATAATTTAATTTTAAGCTATCAATTTTGACATTGTGTTGCACATAAATTTTATTGGGGCAAATTTATAAGGATGAAGGAACACATATGTATATTTTTTTTATAGATTAGTGGTCAAATGTTCATGTTGAAGATTATAAAGTCTACCTAGGAACTTAATTAAAGGACAGAGATATTAATAAACTACAAAATAAGAAATATAAATATTGGTTTAATCACTTTTTTTTTATTAAATTTGATTTTTAATATGAAATTTGAACTTTTACTTGGAAATATAGGAAATTAATATTCCTTCTGTGCCATAAAACTTGAATGATTTGATTTTTCTTAATCCATGATAATATTGTTGAACAATGATTTTAGTTGTTAAACCTTTTCTTGATCATTGACTTTTGTTGTGCCAAATTTATAACTTTTATGCTTTTATGAAATTTTTAACAAAAGAAATCATAAATTTGTCAAATTTGGCATAAGTCAATTTTGTATTTTGTACACAATTCGATTTCGAGGTAATTCCCTAAATGGGACTAAATCAATGTTGAAATGCACAAATAGGACTCTAATAATTTATAGGATTTAAAATGAACTGATTAGACAGAATTGTCCTTAATGAAATTAAGGGCCAAATAAAAAAACAAAACCCAAATATCCATATATAATTCCCGGTACGCATTCATCGATGCCTATAGCGTAAATCTCCAAACCGTCGAACACCTTCAGTGCCTTCAGTGCACGCCAACACAGCCACCGCTGTCGAGACCGCCGCCGCAGTCGCCGCCGAAATTGCCGTTGCACACTTCCGGTGAGGTGACTTACCCCTTCCTCCAGTGAGAATGGTGCCACCGCTAAATCCTCTGTGGAGATGCTGACATCTTCTTAATCATAGCTACCTCCTGTGAAGGGTATAATTTCAATTTCAGGCAAAATTACAATTACGATAACAATAATGACAAAAAAATGGCATTTCTATATGCAAAAACATGGAATTTTCAGATTACCAATTATGGCATTTTCACATTTTGGAGTTGAAATTGTGAAATGGGAGAAGAAAAATGAA